AGGGAGGGAGGGAAGGGAAGGGAAGAAACAAGCCATGCTTACATGCTTATCAACAACAGGAGACATGTAATTCATATCAAGTTTGCTTTCTTATATTTACACACTGTCCTACCTTTATCTTCTCCTTTGCTCTCTTGATTAGTTTTATCTACTTCAGGAGCCTGAAGCTTCTCTTCCTTTATTGTCTCCTCCTGGGTTATCAAAGTCTCTGAAAAGCGGGGGGGGGGGGGACAGTATACAGAACAGTGGCCAGGAGGTACCATTAGTATAGGTTACAACATTTTCCCCAAATAGCACACCACACAGTTATAAGGGTGTCTTACTCATACTAAGTAGCATGTTGCTTTAGTGAATCCAACTAAAGAACGCTCACATCTTGAGTTATTCCATGAAACCAGATTTCATGAAATGGCTATCTATACACAGTTTTCTGTGTATAGGACTTGAGTTTAACTCTTTATGGAACTCACATGTTAGTAAACAGCTTGCCCAGTTGGGGGATTCAATTTCCATGTAAGCTGTCCAAATTCACTGGTTATTTGGGCTGAGAAACATTCCGGGAGAAAACATTTAAACTTCTGCTAAATTCAAAATAAACAGAATAGGTGCATAGTAAAAGATGGTTGAACTATTCAGTAAAACCTAACAGGATAATAATCCAAATTTCCAGCAAACCATTTTAGTAGTGGAAATCTTATGGAATACAGAATTGTTATTTCTTGTTCAAGATCCCAAAGTACAATCTAAAGAAGACATTTGTTCCTCACATATATATTTAAATACTAGTGATAACTAAACATAATTTTTCAAACTATGTGGACTTTATAAATAATGGATTGGCCATTTTGACCATTTCCCCCCTTTCTTGCTCAGATTCACAGCACAGCACACAAAAACTACCTTCAGCTTCCATGTAAGAGATCTGAGAGTCTGCCTGAGTACTCATTTCAACTTCTGTGGAATCATCTTGAGGTCCTATTGGCATTAAAGAGTGGAAAATGGTATCAGTATGATACTATGCATTTGTCATTTAAGAAATTTTTAGAGATGAAAAGCTACCTTATTTTGCTGAAAGGAAGATGTTCCTGATTTAAGACATTCCTCACATAAAGGAAAACTCCTGCACATTGCCCAGTTCCCTACTCTGACAACTTGAGAACTGAAATCAATCCAATAAATGAGTGTGTCTGTGTGTGTGTCTGTGTGTCACAATGAGCATTATAAAGAGGGACTGTGATACCTCCAGTGCTACTTATTTTTCTTTTTTATCCAGACTCAGGATAATTAGGAAAAAATGCAGGCCACAGGCCACACTCTAGAAAGGGCAGGGCTGGCAAAAAAACCCCATGTTAATTGAATTAATGACTATTGGCTAAAATTAATTGTCTGTAAATTAATTGTTTGTCGAATCATTTGACTCCCCACCTGCACAGAAATATTATTTCACGTACAAATGATTGTATTTCGGGGAGGGAGGGAGAGGGAAGGAGAAGCTATCTGGGCTCATACAACCTTATTGTGCACTAAGTACCATTTAGTTCATGACACTTTCTCTAAGATGTGCATAGAACACTGCTCTGCTTGTTTGCTGGCTGACAGAAGCTTTTGTGCTGGGCTGCGAGCACAAGGCAACCTCCCCATTCTTACTCTGTAGCAAACCTCACTGAGTTCAGTAACCTTTACTCCACTTTGCACAGGAGTTTCAGCCTTGTTCAGTTAGGATGCTAGCTCCATTCTCATCTTGTTCCCATCCATATTTAAAAGTGGAGTGTCTGTAGTAAAGACCCTCCCTGCCACCAAAAGAGATATTTTTATGGCCTGAGGATCTACTCACAGAGAATAACAAAGGGAAGGCAGGACTACTGCATCTTTCCCTATTCCCTGTGAACTTATGACAACAGCAGTTTCTTTCCTTCTTTTGCGTGGCTTCATTTCTGTCCCTTGTTTTCAACCGCCCACTCATTCGCTTCTTTTCATCTGTGTCCTGGTCTCTTTCTGTATTCTCAAAGCATATAAGATGACCCTACTCCTAAATCACACTTGGGGAGAAAAACTCATCTTCCTTTCTAATAAATATGATATTGATCAGAATATGTGTACAAAATTAGAGATTACACTACTGAAATTGAATATTGAAGTTTTGGGGTGTTGCCCTTAGCCGCGTAAGAAACAAGTTGATTTAAGATGTGAAGAAGCAAATTGATTTTATTAATTAAAAGGACTGGTGATCCCATCTAACTGTTTATTATGATTCTGCAAAGGATTTTAGAAGACATACCATCAGCTTGATCTTCTTCACAGGTTGCATGAGGCACTGGATTATGCTCTTTTATAGCTTGGAATTCTAACAGAAAAATAAAACAAGTATAAATGCCATTGCTTCTCTATAGATTTTCTGAGCAGGCTTTTTATAGGTATATACCTATACCTCTTATAGGTATAAAGGTTTTTAAAATGATAATTTCCAAAATGATTGATTGATAGATATTATATTACGTTAAATTGCAATGAATACAATTTCTGTATTTTTAGGAATATAAAATATTGAAACCACAAAGTTGTAAACACATGTAAAACTATGTACTTTTTCATCTATTTTGTTATAATAGAGTTTATCACATTCATATCCATTCTCCCAAAATTCTGAAATATCTCATTGTGACAATGTAGAGAACTCAGAATAAGGATAAGCACAGAGCAAAAATGGTTCTTAATGCTAGGATTACCAAGGCAGAGATGGTATAGTCCTGATGGTTTCACAAATAACTCCCAAATAATCAAATGAACTGAGTTTTATATGGAAAATAAAAAGTAACCCACCCACCCTTGTAATTTGGAACAGTTCACTGTGGACAAAAATAATTCAGCTTCATGACCTGGGTGGTCTTGTCAGCATTCAGGTGGTCTCCTTGGAGGAGGAAACCACACTGCTCAACTTTTCCTCCCTTGGAATTCATTTCAGGAATGGCAGGTAAAGACTTCTGACATGTCATTAGAAGGAGGGAGAATGCCTCTATCCCATGCTTATCCTACAATTTACCTTTTCTTCCACCACATGGAAAAAATCATATCTTTTGTAGAAACAGGCAGCTTTGAAAAGGAGGCCTGGCCTCTACTCTCCATAAATAAACCACTGAATAAACTTCACAAATAAAATTTTACAATCCAGGAATGATGGCCTGGGTATGCAAAGAAATGTTGTGCAGAGCAATCTTCTTCAACTTCAGCATCTGGAGCTGAATGTGTACCAGTCCTTGCTTGATCAAATCAACATTCAAAACCCTTAACAGAACTTCAACCATGCTTGGCAGGTCAAGGTGGGAGTGAAGGAACAAAATCTGGATCCTCTCAGCTTTCTTGTCCTGCTTTCCAAAAAATGCTAAACCCCTGTACTGCAGATACTAATACTCACCTTTAAGAGAAGCTACACACTGCGATGAAGATGGGGGTCTCACAGAAAATGAGAATCTTGTGTTGATTTTCCTCCTATAGAAACTTATCCATCTCCAAATATCTCATGGTTATGCTTTTTCCTAGCACAGAGACTTAGAGATACCTTGGACTTCAATTCCAGTCAACCAAACTAGAAATGGATGTAGCTGAAATCTAAAATACTTGGAGAAGACCAAGTTGCCTATCTGTAATGTGTATCATTTATTAAATAACAAGGCTTAAGAACTATGGTAGCTGTTGTAGTGGTATGCAATTTATGCAATAAAAGGTGCTGTTTCTTCAAAGCATTTGAGACATCAGCCTTAATGCTATTTTAACTCCAGCTTGGCTGTATCCATACTAAAACTTGGAGTACAATTTCCATAAATGTATGTTTATTAAATTTTATCTAGCAGTAAGCAATGAACCAAAGGATAGCATGAAAGTAACAGCTTCCTAAGGCTGGCAAATACTATCTTTGTGGGATGTATGGGGAACCTGGGTAGTTAACATCTGATCAAAGTTTAATAATCTGTAAAGCAGGGATGCATCAAAAGTTTGTGATTTTAATTAATTGTAAATAATTCCCCAAGGCAAATATTTAATTACCTACACAGCTTCTTTAAAGGAAATTGCACTGCGTTTACAAAGTCAAAATCTGAAACAGAACTGTAGTATACATATTTTTCAAATCATTTGTACTTAGGCTTCTCAAACTAATCCACTGAATATGATTAATCTTATTTTAAATGTAAAATGCTTTCTGCCAATACTATCAAAATAAGAGAGAGAGAGAGACTTTTGAATTAAACCATAGAAGCAGAAAAAGCCAGGCAATTTAAACAATCCTGATTAGCAGTGTGCTACAAACAGGGAACAGGTGTACAGCAGAAAGGGGCCTGCAGAGCAAATAACTTCAGACTGTTCAAGCAAGCCAAGCCAAGCCACAGGGAAGGCTGAGAGAGAGAGAGAGAGACCCAGTAAATAAGTAGTCAATAAAATGATGTACAAAAACCTCCAAAGACATATTTAAAGTATACCTTTTTCTTTCATTTTGGAGGGTTACTTTAATTTGGGGAGGGGAGAATATTGTCCATCATTAATTTGGAGCAGAACTTTGTAATAAAATATAATTGCATTAGAGAAGTTAAAATTGCACTGCAAATCAGATGTTAGTAAAATGACATAAAATTACAGACTGCATAAAGATGTGAGGATTTTCCATTTTATTTTATTTTATATGTATCATGTCTTCAAGAAAGTAACCTCAGAGAATCAAGGCTATGTTATTTAAACTGCCAAGACAGGTATTACATTGATATGCAGATTCTGACTTTCAAAATCGTTAAGGTCAAGTCTATACTGAAGACTCTCCTCCTCAAATGCAAATATTAAATCAAATATTCAAGCCTAAGGATAGATTTACTTTTAAGATTAACAGGCATAAAATAAAGGAAGGTAGCAAGCCCATATTCATAAAGAAAATCCAGTTGCTGGAAAATGTGAGACAAGTGTAAAAAAAAGCTAAATATATAATAGGAAAAAAAAATCAAAAAAGTTTTTGTTCAATTAGGTCTTCTATGTATTTCAAAGGGCCAAACACAGACACATATACATGTGTACACACACACACATACCCCATATAGAAAAGTTTTAAAAATATAAGTGAATGGAAAGGGGGATTAAATGTTTAAGTTGTTAGTTATTTTTATTAATCTTTACCTCTTTTGTTGATTAATAAGGAGCGCTGAGGATTTAGAAATAGGTCTGTAGAAAATGGGGTGAAGTATAGAATGAAGATGTACTTGGTAGTATTTAAGAGACAGTGATGAGTTGTTAAAGTTGTATATACTTGCTAGGGATGAAGAGGGAAGTTTCTTCTTTGGGAGGGGTTTCTTTTCTCTGCACTTTTTTTTAAATTGTAATTTTGTATTAACTTTTTAAATGTGTTTTATTTGTTCTATATAATCTTTAATGAAATTATTGAAAAAAAAACCTTACTGCTTCAATAATGCTAAGGTATAAAGTATTCGCAAACGGAAATATGTTTACAGCATATTTTTCTATTCTGACTCTTGAAAAAAATATTTGTTGTTAAAATATGTTAAAAACATATTAACTATTTTTCACTGCACCAAGGAGGAACAAAAGGTCATACTGTAGTAAAACTGATTTTGACTGTTATATACACTTTCTTGAACGCTGAAAAACTAGGCAAGTTATATGGATTCTATCTTTCTCTCTCTCTTCTCTTCTCTCCCATGCTCATTTATTATGAGAAGAATAATATCTGGGAGGCATTTTAGTGTGAAAAAGCAGGATGATTCCAAGGTCACTCAATGAATTAAAACCTGGTTCTTCCCAATGTTATTCTGATATTCTACATACAATTGAAATACGTGCTTAGATGTCACAAGGAACAACCACCAGTGGAGAACAAAATACTTCTCAGTAGAATGCAATACCCTTCATCAGTCAGATAAATGTAAGGCATGTTACCAACCTAGTCCCTCACTTCTCCATCTCATAGCAGAATTATATGATAATTGTTCTCCATTTGTTCATTTATAGACAGAGGACAGAATCATTGTTATTGCTCCCATCTAGGAGGCATTAAACGTGATCACAGCTATATTAATCAAACACATGAGGATGAAATGTATCCTGTCTATCAAAAAGGGAAGAGATCAATGGTTAGAAGATGGAGAACTTTAATACAAGGCAACCTTAAAAAGCTGTTCTGACCATGTTTGAATATGACAGTTCATCCAGTTAATTCAGAGTTCGGACTATAAAAAGCATACCTAATAGCTTCCCAAATGGCTTTATCTTTGTTACTTTTAACTGAAGCCATAAATAGTTAAAAGTTTTGCAGAAGCGGTTATGACCACCACTATCTTCACTTCTTTCTCCTCAGTATAAATTTTTCCTTTCATTCTAGACTAGGAAAGTCAACTTTATTGAAAAATAAACACGAGTAAAGCTTTGAAAATAAGGGATATGCAAGGCTGCAAGTTAAGTGGGGTTATATTCATTTCTCCAGCTAAGTCTTGCATATTTTCTTTATACATTTCTAATGGGTCACAGACCCCTTGCACAGAGCATGACTAAAATACCTGGATTTCAAATGGGGGAAGTTGGTCCTTATGAACAAGACAGATTAATTGCATTTTATTTTAAGTACCTTGTGAAAAATGACTGCAATAATTCTGCAGGGAAAGAAATCAACCAGGCATCCCAAATCATAGGTAATGTTGTGCACAGAAGCTGATGTGTGATTACAGTATTCTTCTGCTTCATAAACTGAGAAAAAATGTATTACAAAATGAAGGACTATAAAATCTAGGATGAAATTCTCGAGTTTTGACTCCAAAATGCTTTTACAGTGGGGCAAACAAGTATTTAGTCAGCCACCAATTGTGCAAGTTCTCCCACTTAAAAAGATGTTCATCATAGGTATACCTCAACTATGAGAGACATCAATGAATATCTAAAGTGCCTATAAATCCATATAAACTGGAGTTCATCTCAATCTAATCTATTATCACAGTGGCTTTACATGAAATCTTGGAAGATATACAGTGGGGCAAACAAGTATTTAGTCAGCCACCAATTGTGCAAGTTCTCCCACTTAAAAAGATGTTCATCATAGGTATACCTCAACTATGAGAGACATCAATGAATATCTAAAGTGCCTATAAATCCATATAAACTGGAGTTCATCTCAATCTAATCTATTATCACAGTGGCTTTACATGAAATCTTGGAAGATATACAGTGGGGCAAACAAGTATTTAGTCAGCCACCAATTGTGCAAGTTCTCCCACTTAAAAAGATGTTCATCATAGGTATACCTCAACTATGAGAGACATCAATGAATATCTAAAGTGCCTATAAATCCATATAAACTGG